AAATTGTGGCATCCAAAAGTCAATCAGCTATGCACCCTCTTGGTCTCCCAAAGACTGATAACTAAATTTCCAATTGGGCCCTTATTACAACTTGCAATAAAACTAAACTAAAGCCCATTAATTGATTAATCCAAAACACAATTTGGTCAACCAACAATATTTGTTGAAAAGCTTTCTTTGTTTCCCTTGCTTCTAGCCCTTATCATAGGTCATGTTCACATCATTCTCTCCCTCTTGAAAATGATTTGTCCTCAAATCGGATTCATCATCTACATAAAAAAGAGATAAGTCTGATAAATTGAATGTAGAACTAACATTATACTCACTTTTTATGGCTAAATAGCTATGTTTCACTTCACGTGTTTCACTCTTCTTCTTTTTTCTTTCTTTTCTTGAAGAAATTTTTCTCTCATTTTCTTTTTATTCTCCTCTCGCCATCAATTTGATGTTCAAACCTTTAAACCAGGGCTCGAATACCAACTGATATGAATCACAAGGGGTAATTTAGGATCTTTAGGATTAGAACCTTGTAAGAAATTTAGGAATTTGAAAGAAGGTGGAAGAAAAGAATCACTCTTCCCAAGGGAGGCAACACACGAAAGGATGTGAAAGTCCTTTGATACTGACCAAGGGTTCTTGAATCACTCAAGAATTTAGGAGAATCACTCTCACTAAGATAAAAGAGATAAACTCTAATATTTCCAAAAATAAAACTCAACTTGTTATTTCGATAAAAATGGTTCAAACTTATAAAGAAGCTTTGCCATTAGAGTTACAAATATTCATTAAAGGAAAATAAATGCTAATAATGATTTATTAACCTAAGAATTGAAAACTACTTAATGATTGATTATAAGCTGAAATTGTGGCATCCAAAAGTCAATCGGCTATGCACCCTCTTGGTCTCCCAAAGAATGATAACTAAATTTCCAATTGGGCCCTTATTACAACTTGCAATAAAACTAAACTAAAGCCCATTAATTGATTAATCCAAAACACAATTTGGCCAACCAACAATATTTGTTGAAAAGCTTTCTTTGTTTCCCTTGCTTCTAGCCCTTATCATAGGTCATGTTCACATCATTCTCTCCCTCTTGAAAATGATTTGTCCTCAAATCGGATTCATCATCTACATAAAAAGAGATAAGTCCGATAAATTGAATGTAGAACTAACATTATACTCAATTTTTATGGCTAAATAGCTCTGTTTCACTTCACGTGTTTCACTCTTCTTCTTTTTTTCTTTCTTTTCTTAAAGAAATTTTTCTCTCATTTTCTTTTTATTCTCCTCTCGCCATCAATTTGATGTTCAAACCTTTAAACTGGGGCTCGAATACCAAGCTGATATGAATCACAAGGGGTAATTTAGGATCTTTAGGGTTAGAACCTTGTAAGAAATTTAGGAATTTGAAAGAAGGTGGAAGGAAAGAATCACTCTTCCCAAGGAGGCAACACACAAAGGATGTGAAAGTCCTTTGATACGACCAAGGGTTCTTGAATCACTCAAGAATTTAGGAGAATCACTCTCACTAAGATAAAAGAGATAAACTCTAATATTTCCAAAAATAAAACTCAACTTGTTATTTCGATAAAAATGGTTCAGCTTATAAAGAAGCTTTGTCATTAGAGTTACAAATATTCATTAAAGGAAAATAAATGCTAATAATGATTTATTAACCTAAGAATTGAAAACTACTTAATGATTGATTATAAGCTGAAATTGTGGCATCCAAAAGTCAATCGACTATGCACCCTCTTGGTCTCCCAAAGACCGATAACTAAATTTCCAATTGGGCCCTTATTACAACTTGCAATAAAACTAAACTAAAACCCATTAATTGATTAATCCAAAACACAATTTGGCCAACCAACAATATTTGTTGAAAAGCTTTCTTTGTTTCCTTGCTTCTAGCCTTTATCATAGGTCATGTTCACATCATTGTCTAACTTTGTTAGTTCACCAAGCTTCAAGGGTGTTATTTTTTGACAACCTCTAACTCCCTTTCCCGTAAATTTCAACAAATGTGCTCTCACTCTAGTATAAGATTCATTGAAAGTAAGGTCACAAATATTGCATTTTACTTCATAATTTCCACCACCTCCACCAACACTTTTTATTTTTGTAACATAATTCCATAGGGGTTTTATATCATATTGTAAAGGCTGACTAGAATTACTCATTTCTTCAAAAATGAAACCAATAACATATGATTTTTCAATGTTCATAATTTCATAACTATCGCATTCTAATAAAAAAAAATGAAACATTATAAAGGAAAACAGAGCATGACGTAGTGGAATACTTGAACAACAATGAAGACCTGAACGACAAAGAGCAAAACAAAACAAAATGAACAACAAAGCTTCAATGAACAGTGGAAGAAAATAAAGCACGACGCAACAGAAGAAAACATACCAGTAGACCATGAAACAACGGAAGAAAATAGAGCACGATGCAGCACAAGAAAATAGAGCACGATACAATGGAAGAAAACACAGCTGAAGAAAATAGAGTACAATGTAACGGAAGAAAACACTACAACACGCAACAGAAGAAAACACAGTAGCACGCAGTAGAAGAAAGTAAGTGGAAGCAAACAAAGTAGGATAAAAGGAAAAATCTTTACAACGGCAAAAGGAAGAACCAAAGAATTTTTAGATGAAAAAGGAAAGCATTTGGAGCAGAAATGGAAGTGTGCAGAGGAAGGAAGGAAAGCGGGAGAAAAAAGAACTTAAACGGAAAAAATTACATTTTTTTATTAAATTTTAATTTTTTTTATAAAAGCTATACCTTGTCATCACTGCCGAGTCGGAGCTGTGTCGACATTATGTCGGATCTGGATCACACCGTGTCTACCAAGACTTGAAGTCTCACAACGCGTTTTTGGTCTTGTGGACATTACAAAAAGGAGTCGGACACGCATTTTCAACGTGTCGTGGCGGTGTCAATGTCGGACTCGCGTGCGACACTTCGACACGGGTGAGGGGAGCCGTTTTGGTGCTTCACTAACTACTAGTGAGCTCGAGAGATACCAATATAAAAGAATTCATACTTGAGGAAGAGATTGTTGGGAATCCAAATATTATTCTATATCTAATATTGTAAGGATAAGAAAATTGAACATTATTAAAATTTTGTATTGAGAATAATATGAAGTTGATTGTGTGTTTATCCGAAGTGAATCCAGTATAAAGACGTAATATTCATCATATCGATATGTTATCCTATTTCTTTAATATGATGAAAAGGCAAATGCTGCTTCGGATAACGGTGATTCAGAAACATGAAAAAATCGATATGATGATTTGATTTAGAAACTCAACTACCTGCATGATACTTGAACAATCTTTTTTAATGTTTAATTTCATACTTGAGTGGGTTATACCCATCCTTCATGCACATGCATTTGCTTGCAGTAAGAGGAATATGCTTTCAATGCAGGAAAAGTTTCCAATGAAGATAATTTTTTGGATCAATGACAATAAATTTTACATCTTATAATAAATTATATTTTCCTTTCCAATATTATATCAATTGGTTAATTTAAGTTTGATTTTTTTTTAAACTATAATGTTTATATAAAAATATCTTTTACAAAAAATAAAAAATAATTTTGAATAAAAAAATTAAAAAAACACATATTTTTTTAAATTTAATTTATGTTAGAATATTTTTTATGATAAAAAAACATTATGAATTTCCTAATATATAGAAAATTGTGTTTTGAAAACTTATATTATTAATTATATTTAAAAAATTTTCTCAAATGTTACTTTCTAGAATCTCTTCTAAGTGTATTTCCTTCACCAGTCTTCTTCCTTTCTATTGTGAAGAAAAAAATAATTATTTAAGCATAATTATTTATTGAAGTAACATATATTATATCAAATCTCTCCTGTGATAAAGTTATTTACTTGAAATAATTCAAAATAATTCTCCATAAAAGATAAACATTATTATAATGTTCTTGATACCATTAATTTTTATTTTAAATATAATAATTTAATATATAAATTATAAAAAATAAAATTTATTTAATTTTAAAATAATCAGATATTTATTCTTTATTTTTTAATAATTTAATAATATGAAATAATAATTTATTTAGTATTTTTTAATAAATATTTTTTCTTAAATTAATTTATAATATATTAATAAAATATCATTATTTTTATTTTAAAATAATTATTTTTAATAAAACTAGTGAATCTAATTAACTAATTTAACCAAAAAAAATTATGTCACAAAAAAGATATTAAAGAATTTTTTTATGTTACAGACCAAATAAATTGAATCTTACTCCTAAGGAATAAAGACAAAAAAAAAAAAAGAAATAGAGTAGAATAATTATATTCTCATCTCAAAATTACATTTAGGTTTTTATTTTAATTTGTTCTTCTAAAATATTCCATGTGCATATAATAGTTTACTATGTTTATTTTATATGCTTCTTTCATTAATAGTTTATTTATAAAATATTTTATCATACTCGTTTGCGTCAATTGCATTTTTTAATATTTTTTGGCATATTATAAAAACTCATATCATTAAAATCTGCAAAATCTGAATTCATACTTTAATATATTCAGATAAAAATGACAGTGTAAAAGAAACGTTATTTGACAAGTTTTAATTTAATGCGCTAAAACACCTGGCGCATTATCCTTCCCTAGTCTTTTGCTTTTTCAATTCTGGTACCCTGTTTTTTTCTCATGCATCCTCTGTCTCTCACTCTTGTGTATTATTTCTTAGTCACCACATTTATTCAAATTTTCCTTGTTTTGCTGTTCGATTTTCCTTTCAAAACAGTATCTGAATGCAAAGTTTGTAGATCTAGAACTAATTTAATTCTTCAAAATCATTTTCAATTCAAGTTTTTTTTTTTTTTTTCTTACCTTGGTATCTTCCAACTTCCTAGAAACTTGGTAGGTGAATTTAAGAAGAGAATTGGAAGCTCTCTACCCATTAGTTTCTCCGTAGTTATTCCCATATCATCTTAATGGGAAGAAATGAGATAGAGTCCCACGGGTTGACCTATGATGTTTTCATCAGTTTTAGGGGGGAAGATACAAGGCACAAATTTATAGGACATCTTCGTAAGGAGTTGTTCAGGAGGGGGATAAACGCTTTCCTTGATGATAAGCACCTGGAGTTAGGTCTAGAACTTTTACCTGCTCTATCCAAGGCCATTCAAGAATCTAGGATTTTCATCCTGGTCTTTTCTCCCAACTATGCTTCTTCCACGTGGTGCCTCGATGAACTTCGTAGGATCCTACAACTCTCCAAAACCAGGGGCAACAAAAACCTTGTCTTCCCAATATTTTACCATGTGGATCCCTTAGATGTGCAGCATCAGAGAAATAGTTACAAGGAGCACATGATGGAACACGAGCAAAGGTTTGGGACAGAGTCCCAGAAAGTTCGGGATTGGAGATCAGCATTGTCTGAAGTATGCAACTTGGTACGAGACCCAAAAATAGAAGAAGGGTACGTAACTTTATACCAACAGTTCCTTTCGTATATTTACTTTTGCCTGTTTACTTTCAATATTTATATATATTAATGCTAAAAAATGCCATTTGAGAATGCATGACTATTGATTACGAAGATTGTTGTATACTTCCTTTCACAGGATATTTGTAATTTTATTTTTTATTTGAATGCGTGTAAGGTAAATCACATATGTCTCTGAAAAAGATCATATCATGTAAATAATGCTGTCAAACAAAACATTGTTCTTTGCAGGTCTGAAATCGATTTGATTGAAAATATTGTTAAGAAAGTCTATGAAAATATAACTCTGGAACCTTTAGATATTGGTCGCAAAACGGTTGGACTTGGGCCCCGCATAGAAGAGTTGAAGTCACTTCTAGACATGAACCTTGATGATAATTCTGTACGCATGTTGGGCGTTCATGGATTTGGTGGAGTTGGAAAAACAGAACTTGCAAAAGCATTGTATGACGAGATTGTGCAAAACTTTGATGCTGCTTGTTTTTTAGCTGATGTTAGAGAGAAATCAAACAAAATCAATGGCTTAGAAGATCTACAAAAGACACTTTTATCAGAGTTGTTCAAGGAGACAAAAATTGAATTGGGCAGTACAAGTGAAGGAATTTATGAAATAAAACATAGGCTTCGTCGAGTGAAAGTTCTCTTGGTTCTTGATGATGTTGATGAAAAAGACAGCTTAGAAAAGTTGGCAGGAGGATATGATTGGTTTGGTTTAGGTAGTAGGATCATCATAACAACAAGGAACAAAGATCTGCTAATTGCTCATCAAGTTGACAAAATTTATCAAATGATAGAGCTTGATGAGAAGCATTCACTTGAGCTCTTTTGTTGGAATGCCTTCAAACAAAGATATCCTAAAACAGACTTTGAAGATGTGTCCTCGCGTGCTGTAGGTGTTGCCAAGCGTCTTCCACTGGCTTTAAAAGTAATAGGTTCTGATTTGGCCACTCTTCGCGATAAAAGTCTATATGCTTGGGAACGTGCATTGGAAGAATACGAGAAGATTCATCCAAATGAAATGATTCAAGAAGTGCTCAAGACAAGCTATGATAGACTACATGACAATTCCAAACAGGTGTTCCTGGACATAGCTTGTTTCTTCAAAGGGGAGAAAAAAGAATATGTTAAAAGGATACTTGAGGAATTTGGTTCGACATCCAGTATTAATGTATTGTGTGATAAATCTCTCCTAACTATTGAGGATGATTGCTTGAAGATGCATGATCTAATACAGGATATGGGTAGAGAAATTGTAAGGCAGGAGGCACCAAATTATCCTGGTAAACGTAGCAGATTGTGGGATTGTGAAGATGTTAGAGAAATTCTAACTGAAGATTCTGTAAGAATCATCTAATCTTTTGATTTTTCAAATATTTATAATTATATTAGTGACAATATGTGATTGATGTTTGTTACTTGCCTATACCTGTTTTAAAGGGGAGTAAAAAGATTCAAGGAATAATGTTTGATCCTCCCCAACGAGAAGAAGTAAATTGGAGCGGTAATGCCTTTGAGAAAATGAAATGGCTTCGAATTCTCATTATCCGAAACACAACCTTTTCACCAAAGCCTGAGCATTTGCCAAATCATTTGAGAGTGCTTGACTGGGAAGAGTACCCTTCAAAATCTTTCCAGTCGAGATTTCATCCAAAGAAAATCATTGTTTTCAATATGCCTAGAAGCCATCTAACATTGGAAGGGCCATTTAAGGTACAATGAATTTTATATCATGTTTTCGTGTGCTTTATGTTTCATTTTTTATATAACTCATACTGTTGCTAATCAATGTCTTAATCTTTTCCTTTGCAGAATTTTTCATGCCTGACTAACATGGATTTCTCTGATAACCAATCTATTACTGAATTGCCTGATGTGTCGCAAGTTCAAAATTTAAGAGAACTGAGACTTGATCTTTGTGGAAACCTAATTGCGATTCATTATTCTGTAGGGTTTCTCAAAAGACTTGTCCATTTAAGTGCTTCAGAATGCTCCAAACTCAGTAATTTCCCGCGAAGAATGTTTTTACCATCTCTAGAATTCCTTGACCTTAATTTATGTGGAAGTCTTGGACACTTTCCAGAGATAATGCAAGAGATGAGTAAGCCATTGAAGATTTATATGATATATACCGGAATTGAAGAACTTCCAGAATCCATCGGTAATCTTACTGGACTTGTTTATATAGACATATCAAATAGCAGGAAACTTCAATATCTACCAAGTAGCTTATTCATGTTGCCAAATGTTGTTTCCTTTAAAATTGAAGGATGTTCTCAGCTTCGAGAATTCTTCAGAAGATTCATCCATACCCTTTCAGAAGCCAATGTTTGTCCAGCATTACGAGCACTTAATTTGGGAAATTGTAACTTGGCAGATGAAGATCTAGAGATTCTTCGTTACTTTCCAAATTTAGAGGACTTGATTGCATCAGAGAATAACTTTACCTCTCTCCCAACATGCATCGACAAATGTGTTGACTTGATAAGTCTTGATTTGAGCAGATGCATAAAGCTGAAAAAAATTCCTAAATGCACTAAATTGAGAATTCTTGATGTTAACCGTTGTTACAATCTTGAGGATATTTCAGAGTTACCATCTACTATTCAAAAAGTAGATGCAAGATATTGCCACTGGTTAAGTGAAGAGACGTCAAACATGTTATGGTCTCAGGTATCACCACTCATATACCTCTTTTGGGAGAAAAAAAAGTGTTATCACTTTATTATTTAAGCTAAATATTGTTATCTCTTTTTAAGAAAATAAAAATGACAATAGATGCATAAGGCAATAGAAACTCTCATGAATATTATGTATAGAACTTCTTGACATGGTTGATTAAAGAGTGTTTATGAAGGTACTACATGAAAAATGCAAACTAGGTACAATTATTCCAAATGCAAAATAGATTAATTTCATTCAAATAATCCTCAACATTCAATTATGGGGTGAAAAATTAACTATTAATTTTAATTTTGAAAGTTATGTAATAATAGGTGGCGAAAGGGATCCGGGGAATAGAAGTGATGATGCCCTTCACAACGGAGTTTCCAGAATGGTTTCACTTTGTGGAAAATGGAGCGAATCCTCATTTCTGGGCTCCTCGCAAGTTCCCCAACATTGCTCTGGGCATGGTCTTCCAAATCCAAGATGAGAGGAGGAAAAAATTTAAATTTGATCGCCATCAAGTTGTTCACCTACAGTTACATATCAACGGTCAATTTGTTCCTCGCAAAAGGTATTACAGCTTCAGAATAGAAGCAGAACATGTCTTAATCTGTGATCTACGAGTTTTGTTCAGTGACGAGGAGTGGCTTGGGCTTGATGCACTTCTAGAGCAAGAGTGGAATCTGGTCCAAGTTTTGTATCAAGCCACCTCCTCATTGTCGGTTTGTCGTTGGGGAGTTTTTGTCGACGAAGGAACCAACATGGAAGATGTCCAATTCAATTGTCCCGATCTCAAGTATTCAGAAGAGATGTCACTGCCAATAGTTCCTATGACAGATCCTATGGAGAAATATATAATGATGATAGGGAACCTAGGTCTAGGAGAGATATTTAAGAATGCGATGAATGAATATCTGGACAACGAAGAAAAGCGGGGTTTAGTACACGACAACAGTATGAATACTCTATTGGGAAGATTTAAGACTATATCAGAGGATTCTGAGGATGCATTGAATTCAAATTTGTCTGCTTTAGAAAATCCAAACTCCATCCTGAGGTTGCTCTTAGATTCAATAAAAGATGATGCTGATGATGAAAAGCCTAATGTGTTTTCCGAAGGGCTTAATGAAGTAAAGGATCCAGTTCCACTGATGAAGGAGAATGTAGGAGAAGCTTCAACCTCTGACCATCAGGGAAGTAGTTCAGAGAAGGAGCAAGACTACGATCCTCTGCTGGAAAAAATGAAGTTTGTACATTATGAAGGAATGAGGGATGGACTTCTTGAGGCAAAAAAATGCTTCCCCTCTCTAGACATTGATGAAACCTTGAATGCTGTCTTGAACAAGGGTATTAGGATTACTTTGCCACCTGAAGGGGAAAGCCAAATACCCTATGATGAAATTTGGACATACACGAGTGGAGTTTACGATGGACTCATGGAAGCAAAGTTGAGATTTCCTACATAACGGCAATACTAAATACCGTGGCAGGTAGGAAAGACGTTAGTGTCCCGAAGCTTCCGCAGATTGATTGGACTAATGTCATACCACCTGATCCTTTGTTCCTGGTCATGAAGCGACAGTGTCCGGAATCTCAGGCCGAAAGTAGACACTTAAAGAAAATGGAGGAACATCAAGCTCTTCGCAACAGGTTTGTTCAACTCGAGGATGAAAAGGAAAATGCTGCTTCGGATAATGGTGATTCAGAAACATGGAAGAATCGATATGATAAATTGATTCAGAAACTCAACACTCAATCTGGTGAGTTTGTTGCAAAGAAGCTTGATTGTAGCGAAGACTTAGAGTCTGCTTCAACTAGCACAGACTTGTATAGAGACAATGTCTGCAAGTGTGTGACAAGGTATGAGAAAGTGAATGTTCTTCTGAAAGGGCGAGCTGAAGAGTTGCGGAGGCTATACTATGCTGGGATTGAAGGCTACCAGAACTCTGAGGAGTTTCAAGATCTGATGAGTGCAGTATACTGGAATGGACTTGGAGATGGAGTCCTTGAAGCACAGGCCATCTCAATTGCTTTATGGAGGAAAATGCTTTAGTTTTTCAGTAATGCAAGTTTTCAAGAGATGTTATTGTAACATTTTTTGTTTTTTTACCTATCCCACCCAACAAAAGACGGGTAGATTTCATAATTTTCCAACAAAAGATGCCGCTATATTGAAGAGACATTTAGCTCAATTGGAAACATATCTTAGCGGCATTAAATATATGAGGGGATCACCTGTTATTGTAATAATCGTCGATCAACAAGAAGAATATACATTAAAAGCCAATTCAAGACTCCAAAATTTTGACCAACCAATTCTTACTTTATTAAATGATAACTCATTTGTTAGTATTTTTCCTAATTAATAAAATAAAATTAGATTCTTTTAAGTTTTTATTTCGTTATACTATATTAGATTTGTATTTTTAGGGAAATATATATGTAAAACTACAAAAATATACTAATTTATGTATTTTAATATATTTTTTCGTTATTACTTTCGTTTTCTTCATTGACCAGTTTGACTTTGTTTCTTCTTTGATTTATATCCTTTTCTACAGAACTTAAATTGAACTAATTCTTTTTGCATTAAAAACTAGACATTTTAAGCTTCAATTTGAGCATAAATTTGACTATTTTTGGAGTTCAAAGCTATTTTTAATAAATAAAAAAAATGGTAACGCGAAATTGGAAATTTGTTGTAGAAGCAATACAAAGTTTAATTATATTTAGATTTAGGACACACTTATAATTAATTTTAATCATGATTTAGTTAGTTTTACGTCTAGTTAACTTATATTTGAACCTATAAATAAGACACTTTTGTGTCATTATAAGACACACCTCATTTTATTCTTCAATTGACTTGAAGTTAGTTCAAATTCTCTAAATTTTGGTTATTCTCTTGCCCTGTCTTTAGTTTTCGGTTTAGTGTTCTTTTTGTCTCTTTAGTTTTTAGTTATTTTTTCTGTTTTGTTTAGTGTTCTTCTTGCTTTACTTTAGTTGTTTTTTCAATTCAATTCCGTTTTCCATTTGTTTTACATGAGTTTCTACTTCAATTCATCACATAATCATCGATTGTTTCACAATGTTGTTTCCAGATTTAATCTTTGTTGTTTCGGTTTATACATTATTTTAGCAATGATTTGAGCATGATTCTTGTTATTTATCAAGCTTTATTCGGTTCTTTATTCATTAAGGAGAATAATCACGTCTCATTAGCCAATTTTACTAAGTGTTCATGTATTGTTTAATTGTTCTTGTTGTTTTGACGCTGTTTTAGCATTTTAATTGTGTTCTTGTTATTTTAGCTTGATTTCTCCAATTTAATCGGTTAGAATGTTGTTCTTAGATGTTGTTTCAAGTTCTTATACTTAGTTTTAGAATTCAATCGATTAAAAATTATTTTAGGAGTAGTTTCTATTCGGTTTGTTCATAGCAATTTAGAAGTATTTTTCAATTTAGGAATAACATTTACATTTGGTTGAATATTTGTCTTTGATTATGTAGGATTTGTTCTTAATAATCCTATTGTTTTTGCACAATTTAGATGTTCTAAACATTAGTTAATAGGTTTTAAAGTTTTTCAAGCAATTAAAAGTTTGTTTCTAGTTAATCTTTGCATTTGGTAATGAGTAGTTTCAAGTTTTTGTGTATTTGAATTTTTCAATTGTTCCAAATTGTTCTTACTGTGTTTTCTGTCCAGATTTAATTTCAACCATGATTTGATTTGATTTTTGTTAATTTCATACTATTTTGGTAGTTTTATTTTCTATAAAAAATTTTCACACATGTTACATGCATTAGTTTAGTATAATTTAGAATTGTAGTCTAGTTTCCGTGTTGTCTCGAATTATAGACTTAATTCTTTATGTTATAAACCATTTCTAATTATGTTTAACACTTAATTCAATTCTGTTTGCATTTTATTAGTTACATATTTTAGACAATTTAAGTCAGCATGTTCATATTCATAGTTAGCAAATGCTTTAATCTAATTGCATTTTTCAATTTAGTTTTCTAGAGCTTTATTGTAGTTTTTACATCATTTCAATCATTTTTCAATTTCAATTGTGTGCTTAATCAATTCAGTTTCTAGCTTTGATAATTGATTATTTTAGTTTTCATTAGATTTACAACATACAAAATTTTCAAATTAAATTTGTCACAAAATCCATAACTAGTTTTGTTTTTGAATTCTAGCATTTTTTTATTCGGTTCTTGATTTGTTTTTTACCAATTTGATCTTACCATTTAGTGTTTAGTTCTATTTAAAGTTTTTACCAATTTCAATACAAAGCAATTTGACATATTATAGTTTACTAGTTTAAAATTTGTTTTAGCTGTTTACTTTTAATGTTCTTTACTTTTATAACTCAAAATCACCTGCAACTCAGTAAAAACATTTGACGTCCACTGTGAGATTTGGTAAAACGATCCTTGTGAGATCTTTCACTCTATGATTTTAACCCGCATGTAGACAGTTTCCAATTTCAATGGCAATATGGATCCTACAACCGTCATCTATGGCCTCAAGAAGCATATAAACAAATGTCAATAAAGGAATCATGATGAAATAAAGAATCTGTAAGAACATAATAATGTTAGGCTACACAAATCCAATAAAAAATAGTAGCTAAAGATTGCAATTAATTGAAGGTAACACCAAGTCGAACTTCAAACTCTTCGAAATGAAGTAAAACCTTTAATTAAACAATATTGGACTAGTAGGTCACGCATAAACCAAGAAGAAACCGTTATATCAAGCACGAACTCAATAGTCGCTAGCATTGACTCACAAAAACCTAGACCAAACTAGAAGTCAACCTGCATACAGATAAAAAAATTCACCTAACCTAAGTGACAGAACATCAAGTTGAAGGAGGCGGAGCCACTCGAGGGAGAATGCCAGACACGAACTCATTAACGAAGTAACTCTCCAACTTCCTCATTCGAGAGAGTTTACAATGAAAGTCTCACTCTGATTTCGACCCACACGTTCCCAATGTACACAAATGAATGAAATTCATGAAGAAGACAACGACCATCCATCCGTCCCAAGAATCGTGGAGACACCCTCTCACCTAACTGGGAGCCACTCGACATAAAGAAATATGATGGATTGACAGATTCAGAAGAGCACTTAGTAATGTACAAGACACATGTAAAATTGTATACTAACAACGAAGTCGTACTTTATCGAATCTTTCCCACCACTTTAAAAGGACCAATCTTATGATAGTACAACTTTTTATCATATAACTCAGTTGATTCATATTATATATTAGCGGAACGATTCTGAGTTAGATTCGCAACTAGAAATAGGCATGAAGTCATGTCGATGACTTAGAAAATGTAAAGCAGGGTGAAGGCGATCCCTATTTAGTTTCATGGATTGGTTTTCCCATTATCAAACACAATACCAAATCTACATTCTGAGGTGGCTCTACACGCGATACTAGTTGCTCTACAACCCGAACCTTTGGTAGACAGTTGTTTTGCTTATCCATCAAGTGTTAGACAAATGGCATCTAGAGGGGGGGGTGAATAGATGCACAAATTAAAATAGATGTCAAATTAAAAATTTATTTGTGAGTCAATCATTTGTTAAAGCGGAAGTAATAATATAATCGGGAAAGAGAAAGAGATAAGGGAAAGAGAAGAGCACACATAGATTTATATTGGTTCGGGTATAGTCAACCCTACATCTAGTTCCCAGTCAACTCTTAACACAAGAGTGACTCCCCATTCACTATCTTTCAAATTCAGTTTACAAATTACAATCAACTCAGCAGAAGAACCAGTAAAAAGTAAACTAATTAAAAAGACAATCACCTCCTTAGAAACCCACTAAGGATGAACACCTCCCTAGAATCCCACTAGGGATGAACACCTCCTTCTGAACAAATCAAAGGATGAAAAACACCTCCTTAGAATCCCACTAAGGATGAACCCCTCCCTATAATCACACTAGGGATGAAAGTAATAAAAATAAGAACGAGACACACCGGGTAATGAAGACAACAAATTGTAGAAGCTCGTAGAATGTCAATCTCCAAGAACAAGTGTGATTAACAATGAAAGCACGGAAGACAGTAGAGAAGAGAGTTTTATCAAAAGGTGTAAAATATCTCTGTTGTCTTGCTCGAATTCTTTTCTCAAAACTAATTGAATGTCAATTGTATTTTCGAATTCCGTAATTGTGTGTTTTTTATTTTTCATCAAAACTTAATTAAATAGAAAAATAGCATCGAGAAAATGGCCGTTGGACATTAATAATATCATAGAGAAAATCAGGATGTATTCAAAAACATTTATTCTTTAAAATAGATATATTTTTCAAATTTGAATTGTCATAATTGATTATATTACCAAGTATAGTTAATTATGATAGAGAAAATCATTTTTCCATTTCGGTGTATCATAATTAATTATGACAGTGAAAAATATCATGTTATGAATTTTATCACACTTGTGCTTTGGAGGCTTATGCATAATATTACTTCATCAGCTTGTACCTCCATATCCAGTATTCTAAGACTCTATCTAGTCTTCAGGAATCATCTTGGGCTTGCTTGAATCATCATCTTTATCACCTACGTCATAAATTCAGCATGTCCTTAAATTCATCTTGAATGGTGTTGACTTGAATGTAGTTGACTTGAATCATCATCAAAATCATCTCTTAGGAATGCAGGAATATTTCCATCAATCTCCCTCATTGCTTTCAATCTCCCTTTGATGATGATCAAGAAAACACCTGAAATGAATTAAAATGCTTGACTCTATATAGTCAGCTCAAGATTAGCACAGATTTGTATCAAGTGTCGAGTCTCTTAATCTCCGTCTGGATATATTAATAACAAGACTCCCCTAACTCATATGAGCAAATACTTCTCTTAACTCCCCTTGTTTAATTTAGATAGGAAAGAATTTCACACAGATTTTAATTCATCAAAAAATCTCCCATTGTTTCATTGATAATCATAAAAAAATATTATAAGAAAAAATCTTCCCTCGTTTCACATAGATTAATATCATCAAAATATCTCC